TCGAGAGCAATAAGCCCTATGGACAAAGCCAATGAGAACCACACAATAAGGTGGCCTAGACCCCTAATCAAAAGAAAACAGCCTGCAAAAAATAGGCCAGAGTTAAGGCAGCAAAAACAGAAGGCTGAGACCCTTAACTCCCCCACAACAAAAAGGCTAAACAGCAAAAAAACTACCACAGCCGACAAGCTAGGGCCTAAAAAGAAAACATAATATACACAACCAACTACAAATCAAAAGAACAACATAGATGAGAAACCAAGTCCATAAAGGAGTGTCCACTGAAGCAAAAGCACCTAGACTCCCTCCATAATCTCCTGGTCATCCACGCTTGTTCTTCTCCAAAAATTCCTGCCAGTCGGCCACTGCAACTTTGATTACAACGTGGACTGGCATCCATTCCTTTTTGAAAATCCACAAGTTACGGGATTTCCACAACCACCATAATATATAGGTGGTTAGTTGTATACGGGCCTCTGATATTTCTTTTTTGCTTATCGAACATACATCCCCCCACCATACTTTGAAACTGTCTGTACTTGCATTGCAGAAATCCCAGTTTACCGGAGCCATTTTCCACACCTGCTTGGACAAGTCACATTGAAAGAACAAGTGCTCAACGGTTTCTACCCCATCTCCACATCTGTGACAAACCCAGTCCACATCAAGGCCCCTCTTCTTCAGATTATTGCTGACAGGTAGAGTATTGTTGAAGCTTCTCCAGATAAAATGTTTGATTTTCCCTTTGATGTTGAGCCTCCAGCTTCTCAATCTGGCATTGACATTCTTAGCATTCTGACCACTGCTCTCTGCAATGTCTAGGGTTCTGAATTTCCCTTCAACAAATCTTGAATAAGCTTTGGCCACTTGATAGTCTCCTTTTGCATTCATGTCCCACATCCATTTGTCTGATTTGGTATGATTAATAGACTTGATTCTCAGAATAGATGTGCAATCTTCATCAGAGAACAACTCCTTCAACAGGTTTAAATTCCAGTTCCACCCCCTATTTTCCAACAGCTCCCACACATGAACAACATCAGTAACTACACCTGGTTTGATAAGAGGAATACCAGTAGCAGAGTGGGTTAGCCATGGGTCCTGCCATATCTTGGTTGATAAACCATCTCCCACCACTTTTCTGAAGCAATGTATATGCTTATTTTTAACTGCCATCCATGTACCCCACAGCCAAGATGCACTTTGATTCCTTTGGGCCGAAATAATGCTTCCATCAGGGAAGTACTTGCTCTTCAGAAACTTACTCACAAGTAGATTGGGCATAGTGGCTATTCTCCAAACTTGCTTGAGTATTAGAGCTTCATTAAAAAGCTTCAGATCGTGAAATCCCAATCCACCTTTATCTTTTGGCAGAGTTAAAAACTGCCAGGCCTTCCAATGAATCCCAGCAGCTTGCCCATCCCCTTTTGACCACCAAAAACTAGCAAACATACTTGCAATTTTATTACACACTGATAGAGGTAAAGAGAAGCATGACATCACAAAAACAGGGAGTGCACTCAAAACAGCTTTCATAAGAACTTCTTTTCCAGCAAAAGAGAGGAATCTGTTCTGCCAGCCTGAGATTTTTTTCCTCACCACCTCCACCACATACTCAAAAGTCTGCCTTTTGGATCTTCCAATGCCTAAGGGTAATCCCAAATACATAGAAGAGTTATGCACTTGAATCCCATTCAGAAGCTGACAGATGGAATTTTGCAGAGACCCATTGACATTCTTGCTAAAAAATAAAGAGGATTTGCTGAAGTTCACCTTCTGCCCAGTAAAAGAGTGATAGAGATCAAGAATTTTGAGAATAACACCCATAGAGTTCTCATCAGCACCGCAGAAAACAAGTGAGTCGTCAGCAAACAGTAAATGAGACAATTGGATCCCTCTTCTGGCAATTCTGACACCACACAGATTGTTCAATTCAACTTCTTTATGAATGAGTCTGGATAATAAATCAGAAACTAAAATGAAAATGTAGGGAGAAATAGGATCTCCCTGTCTTATCCCTCGGGTTGCTTTGAAATAGCCACAAATCTCCCCATTAATATTGACAGAGAAAGCTGTAGAAGTCACACAGCTCATTATCCAGTCTACAAATATTTTGTGGAATCCAAACTTCAGTAAAATCAGTTTGATACACTTCCACTCGATCCTGTCATAAGCCTTCATCAGGTCTAGCTTGATAGCCATAAACCCCTTCCTGCCTGCTCTGTGTCTGTTTAAGAAGTGGATCACCTCATGGGCCATTATGACATTGTCGAGTAATTGTCTGCCAGGTATATATGCGGCCTGATTTTCACTCACACACACGTGCAACACATTCTTCATTCTGGTAGCTAACAGCTTTGAAATGATCTTGTAAACAACATTACAGAGGCTAATTGGACGAAAATCACTGAGAGTTGTAGGATTTAAACATTTAGGAATTAGACAGATAATAGTGTGGTTCCAACTTTTCAGCAGCCTCTTGGATTCAAAAAAACTCATGATAGAAGAACAAAGATCCGACTTTAAGATGGGCCAGAAATGCTGGAAAAAAAGTGGGGACATGCCATCCTCCCTTGGAGCTTTCATTGGATTGAGCCTGAAAAGAGATGCCTTAATTTCATCTTCATTCACCTCAGCTATAAGTTCTTGATTCGTTGATTCTGTAATAGAACATGGAATATACTGAAGGATCTGCTCCTCATCAGCACTTCCCTGAGATTGAAACAAATCAGAATAGAATCTGCAAACAGCCACCTCAATATCTTCCTTAGTATGACAGATTCTCCCTCCATCCACCATCAGTTTGGATATTACATTGGTTCTTCTTCTCTGCATAGTGAGAGCATGAAAAAACTTCGTATTCCTATCTCCCTCCTTGAGCCACAAGTTTCTAGACTTTTGCCTCCAAAATTCCTCTTCAGAACACTGAGCTTCCTCTAACTCCCTTTTCATGTTGTCCCATGCTTCCCAATTTTTCTCCCCACCTAATGCTCTCATCTCTTCCAACCCTACAGTCAAATTCTCAATCTTCCTTGCATTCTCATCTTTAAAAGCTTGACTCCACTTCAAAAGAGCAACTCTGGTTTGTCTTATTTTCTCTTTTACTTGAAACATAGGAGTCCCTGATGATAAAGAGTTCCAAGCATCTGACACCACTTCTGTAACCCCTGTTCTTTTCAG